ACATATTTTATACCAGTAGGTTTTTAAAAATAATTTATGTTGAGCATTTTAAGATTTATGGAATGTTACATCTATTTTCATTTAAGCCTTCTAACCATGTAGAGCAAGTCGTGGGTAGCGCTGCTTTGTAGATGAGGAAACCAGGTTCGAGGGAGGTCCCATGACTCACCTGTGAGGGACAGGTCCAGGAGCTGAACCTCTATCCATTGGTACCAAGTCCAGTTCTCTTCCCACTCTGCCTGGCTGTCTGAGTCTAGGCCTCTTGGGTATCATAAAGTGTCACCCTCATTTACTGAGCTCGGCACATGACAGTATTTTAATAGTGGTGGTAGACCTGAGACATGAGTAGACATTGCTGGTTTTTTATTTAGATTGGATAGGCCATTTTGGGCTCATTGGTCTTGCTGTTTCAGAACAAAGACCACGAAGATCTTGAACCTTGCTGTTTTTGTGCTCAGTTTTTGTTTTGATTATTAGAAAGAAAAATAATCATAGTTGTGACTCAAAAGTGTGAAACCAAAGATGGCAGCTCTTAGGGCAGGTTGTGGGTCATGTTAAAAATTTGCATAAACCTGCAGTCAGATTAAATAATTGCAGACAAATGCAAGTACTTTAATGATCACTCAGAAAATTTGCATGGTGGCACGTGTTGACTACCTTGACACAGTTGTTAAAGTAGCTTTGTCAGCTTGATCTGATTTTCTGATGGTCATACAAAGAAAGATTTTTTTCCCTTTCTTATTCTTGATCTCTATGCTTTTTCTTTAAAAAAAAAAGTATTGGTGCCTTGGTTTTTTATCACTCATTTCTAGATCTATACCCCACTACCGCCCAGGAAGCCTTCCCTTGTAATAAAGGACAACAATTAATCAAAACCAATTGAAGAAGGATGGAGGCAGACAGCGTGGGCAGTCTTCCAAAGCCCTGGTCCCTCACGTCTCTCATGAGAGGGGGGAGGTCTCTGGGGCTGAGATTGGTCACGTCAGTTATGCTGAAGTCTGTTCCTGTGGGTGTTCTGGGAGAATGGCAGAGATGGAGCTGGAAGAAGCAGCACAGCTCCGTTCTGTCTTATAACTACCTCAAGGAAGACTGAGGAAGGGCCGCAGTAATTCATGATTGGGAAATGCAGATATCCAGGAAGGTGGAGGCTGGTGTTTTGTACCTGAGCAAGGTCAATAGAAGAGAGCTCGAAGCTGGGATGCTCTGACCTAGGCATGAGCTCGTGGATCCGGTAAGGACAGATGCTGAGAGTGGGGCAGGGAATCTTGGGCCTGAAGCTGAGTATTAGTCAAGGACCAAGAACTGGAATGAAGTTGTTCGTTTGATCCTGGAGTAGGATCTCTGATTTGGCCCAAAGATCCAGGCTAGGTAGGACCAGGGCAGGGAGCTCAGGTCAGTGTTCAGACTTCAAATCAATAGCACCTTTCAGCTAGCTGACAGCAGCTATTTACTGGCACTCTCCCCAGAAGCAGATCTCCAGTTCTGTACCTAGATGCAAATCAGAAGTGGGAACCAGCAAAGCTTAGACCACGAGAGCAGCAATCAGGTTTTGTCCTAGAGCTGAGGGCATTTAGGGGGCACTGAGTACCTGTAGAAGGCAGCAGGCAGACTACCAGGGAATATAGATCAGAACCAAACAAGGTCCTAACATTCCTTCCGGAAATGTACAGAAACTTGCTTTTAACTCACAGTCCTAATTCATGCAGTAAGGCTGTAAGATGAGCTAACCAAAATAAGACACCCTTGATAAAGTGCTCTCAGAGAGCCAGGGACTCTTTAGTAGAGAACTCCACAATTTCTACAAGGAAGGTCTTAAAGAAAACCATAGCTTAGCCACAAAAACTCGAATTCTGGGAAGAAATGAAGCAAGAGTTTAAATATCATAATAAATAAAATGAGAGCTTTAGAGGAAAGAATTGGAAGAAGAAATGAGAGTCTTAAAGGAAAGACTTGGAAGGAAAATCAACAGCTTGGTACTAGGTACAAAATCTTCCTTAAGTAACAGGGTTCCTGAAAATTAGAATGGACCAAACAGAAGGTAATGATTCCATGAGACAATGAGAAATAGTAAAAACAAACTCAAAAGACTAAAAAAAAAAGTAAAAGAAACTATGTGGTACCTCATCAAAAACTGACCTAAAAAACAGATCAAGGAGAACAAAAACACAAAAATAAATACCTAAAAGGTATGATCAAAAAAAGAGCCTGGATATTATGTTTCAAAAAAAAATTATGAAAGCTACCCAGACCTATTATAATCAGAGGGCAAAGTGAAATTAAGAATCCACCATTACCTACTGAAAGAAATCCCCAAAAGGAAAATTCCAAGGAATGCCACAGAAAAAAATCCAGTGCTTCTGGAAAAGAGTTCAAGTACCCAAGAGACAGGCTCACACAACATTTGGCAGCTGCTACTGTAGAGGAGAGAACTTGGAATATGATATTTCAAAAGGCAAAAGATTAGGCCTGCAACCAAGGATAACTCATTCAGCAAAACGGTATAATCCTCCAGTGGGAAAAAGTCTTTTATTTTTGTGTTCTTTTCATTTATGTTTTTTGGTGGTTGTGTACATACGGTATATGGTTTTCCTGGTTCTGCTTACTTCATTTTATCTAAGTACAGATAGGTTTTTTCCCATGTTTCTGGGTTTCTTATACTCATCATTTATTACTTTGCAATAATATGTAATCATCACATACTATAATTTAGTAATCCCTAGTTGATAAGTGTCTCCTTTGTGTGTAGTTTTTATGCTGCTACAATGAATGATGGTGTGACTTTTTTTGGTGTGTATAAGGGACTTTTCTTTGTCTTTGGCCTCCTTGGGTTATATGCCCAGCAGAGGGATGTCTGTGTTAAAGGGTATGAACAATTTATTCATGGTCGTGGAGCACACACAAATGTACTTTATAGCACTGATGTTGGAGGGAACAAACCTCCAGCTGGGATTCCTGGCGTGCCCAAGAAAATGAATCCTTGCCTCCCAATGTGAGGGTGGCTCCAGCACGGTGGGACAGGATTCCCTGGCCAGATGGCCTGATTCATGTATATTGCCATGTTAGTGTTTAATCCAGTCCAATATAAGGTCCTGTTCTCAGTGTTCCGGTCAGTGCTGCTGTTCTCAAAATGCCGCGACAGCCGAGTTGAGCATGGCTCAGGAGTGGTTTGGGCGTCAGTGAGTGGCAAAGGCCGGTTGGGAGAGTTGTGGGATTGACACAGGGTTCTGACAACATGGACTCAGATTAGAGGCGGGCATTCTTGCTTTGTGGAAGTCCATGATGAACTGAGAGTTTAAGATGGGTTCTTAAGGGTTTTGCCAAAGAATGTGTGTCCCATAGCTGATTCCCATTGAGCTGCACCCTCAAACTGCTGGTACACAGATTCATTCTTCGGTATTACTGTAGATTTTAATTTGTCCCACCAGGGTCATCCACTGTTTACTAAAGGGATTAAGGTGAAAGATACTATTGGAGAATGGGGAGGAGCCAAAGGGCAGCAACATGGTGGGTTCTGGATTGTTGGGCTGGTTGGGGTGGGGATAGGGCATGGGGAAGGGACTGCTTCTTTTAGATAGACAAAAAGCATTGATTGGTAGATGTGTGGTGGATCTTTATTAATGCTTCATTTACTCTGCTTCACAACTTTCTTCTGTGTTGTAGAACTTAATCTTTCTTGATTCCTGAAAGAAAGGAATTTTTAAAAAAAATACCAGAGTAGGGGGCAGCTAGGTGGTGCAGTAGATAGAGCGCCAGCCTTGGAGTTGGGAGGACCTGAGTTCAAATCTGGCCTCACACACATACTTACTAGCTGTGTGACCCTGGGCAAGTCACTTAACCCCATTGCGTTGCCAAAAAGCAAAAAAATTAAAAAAAAAATACCAGAGTAGGAAGTTGGGAAGTTGCATGATTGTTCTCCTTAATTTGATGTGACATAGGCAAAGAGTGGACAGGATGGTTTTTAAAAACTGCACTGGTGGTCTCTTTTTGCTGCTAATTACAAATTCCCTTTTAGGAAGGTAAATAAACTTGATCTACAAGTACTTATTCAGCTCTTACTTTGTGCTAAGCACTAAGGCAGTTGGGATAGTGGAAAGAACATTGGCTCTGGAGTTGGAGGATGTGGGTTCTTCTGGGCCTCACTTGCTTATTGTCTGTCCTTTGTTCTTTGAAGGGGACCATGACATCAGGAAGGAGATGTCATCAGTTGTAAATGAATTGGATTTAAGTGAGGGAGGGCTGTGCAAAATCACCAGCCTCACTCACACCTCTGGAGCCTTCTGGGTCAAGTGGCAGGATATAGATCAGGGGAACTGGTGACACCCTGGATGCAGTGGGAGCCCTTGGCCTTTTTAAGTTAAGGTCTTTCCCAAGTCTGAACCTGTCTGAGGCAATGCCCAGTCAGTGATTAAGGCTAGGCCAAAAATGAGGCAAAGAATGGCCTCTTTTACCTAGGGAAAAAAAAAAAACAATCTGGGAGGGGAAGACCCTCAGGGTTTCCGGCCTAAATAGAAATAATTGTTATTTAAATTCACTCTGAGCTATTCCAGCCCAAACTCTAAGAAAGACTTGGGCTGGGACCTCACTTGAGAGGAGTGGCCACTTCCAGTGCCTGAGCTTCCAGAAGGATCTCTGCTACTGGATTTTCATTCTGCTAATAGCTGTTTGCCCGGATTAAGAGGAATCTCTTGTGTGTTATGTTACAGTTTTATTTTAAAAATACATTTGTTATTCACAGGGTTATTTCCTTGGTGGGTGGGGGTGTTTTTGTTATTTAGAGTTATTCAGGTAAGAAGGAGCTCTGGTTCTACTCTTGTTTTTGTCCTCAAAGAAGCTTGTAGACAGACCTGGGGGAGCCTGAGAATGTGTTTGGGGGAGGGAGGTGGGAGTGACCTGGTGAGGTAATATGGAGGTAGCAGAGTCACATTGACAAATAGCCATTGTGGGGGATGGCTGTAAGACTGGGCTACTTTTTAGGCATAACTTTTTTTTTCTTTTTTTAGATGATATGCCCATGGGAACTGCTGGCAGACGGGCTTCAAGCGAGTTCTTGGTGTGTGGAGGAGGGTATGTTTCAACAGATCATTACTAGAATATTCTGAATGTTTTCATATTTGTGGCCCAGGCTCTAGTTTTTTGGGAATAGTCATGTTGCCAAGGTATTGGGTTGTTTCTTTTTTTCTTTTTCAAACTGGAAACTAATATTCACATCAGAACAGCATTGTGAATATCTTAAATGAATTAACAAAATGCTTTTTTTCTTGCCACAGTTATTTTCCTCACCTTTTTATCATAGTGCATATGCCTCTTTTTTTTTTAGACAGTCTTTTAACTGTTTCTGGGAGCTCAGGAATATTACAAAATCCTTCTTCAAACTCTACTTGATGTAACCCTTCTAGCTCAGCCACCAAGTGTGGGGTGCTTGGTCTTAAGAATTTAAAGAGTTTAAATATTTGTTCATTCCCAGTATTTTTCATATAGTAACTGCCTAGTCATAATTAAAATAATAGGTGGAATTAACATAGTGCTTTAAGGTTTGCAGAAGCACTGTGCATGTTGTCTCATCTGATCCTCACAACAGTCCTGGGAGGTAGGTGCAATTATACCCACTATACGAATGAGGAAATTGAGGCAGACAGAGATTGTGACTTGCTCAGGGTCACACAGCTAGTTAAGGAAAAGTTTTGTTGTGTGACCCTGAGCAAAAAAAAAAAGTTGTGTTCCCCCATTTCTTCCTGTAACTCCCTGAACTTCTCTAAGAATTTGGTTGCTATACCACTTGGTGCATATATGTTTAGTAATGATATTCATTGTCTGTGGTGCCTTTTAGCAGGACGTAGTTTCCATCCTTGTCTCTTTTAATAAGATCTATTTTTTCTTTTCCTTTGTCTGAAATCAGAATTGCTACGCCTGCTTTTTTTTTACTTCAGCTGAAGTACTCCAGCCTTTTACCTTCACTCTGTCTGGCTCTCTGTCTGTCTCCTTCTCTCTCTCATTTCCTGTAAACCACATATTGTAGGATTATGGTTTCTAATCCATTCTACCATCAGCTTCCATTTTATGGCACAATTCATCCCATTCACATTCAGTTAATGATTACTATTTGTGTCTTTCTCTCCATCCTATTTCCCCCCTGTTTATGCTTTTCTTTCTCCTTTTTCCCTTTCCCTCCTCATGTGTTTTGCTTTTGACCACTGCCTCCTTCAGTCTACTCTCCCTTCTACTAGTCCCCTCCCTTTTCTTTCCCTTTTCCCTCCTACTGCATATTGGGCAAGTTAGATTTCTGTACCTAACTGATGAGGTTATTCTCTTCTTGCTCATCTCCCTCCCTTCTTTCCCTCTACTCTAATAGGTTTTTGTGCTTTTTCCTGTAATGTAATTTACTCTTGTCTGCCCCCTCCTTTCCTTTTCTCCCTCGTACAATCCCTTAATTAGATCCACTTAATCCACTTAGATCCATTTAACTCACTTAGATTTTTTTTATCATTACATCAAAGTCAGTTCTGTCTCTGTATACACCATTTAAATGGTGTAATACCAATACAGTTCTCAAGAGTTACTAGTGTCATCTTCCCTTGTAGGGATGTGAACAGTTTGCCCTTATTAATAACATGTTTTTTTTTTCTGTCCAGTTTACCTTTTTATGTCTTGTGTCTGAGGATGAGATTTTCTGTTGAGCTCTGGTCTTTTCATCAGGAAAGTCACAATTGCCTTACCAGAAAAAAAAAATCCTAGCTTGGAGGAGGGAGGTACAGTAAAGTTCTTTAAAGGAGCACCCACCGCTCCCCAGATTGAGTTATGAGATTGTAGAGTCAGAACGGTGATAGTGACTGGAGATGTTGTGGTCTTGGCTCCCGATGTTACATGTGAGCCCACCTCCCCATAGGCGCCGAGGATGATTAGTTGTCCAGCTGAGATTTTTGCTTGGACCCTCTGATTCCTGGTCCAGTATCTTTTCACTCTGCCATGCATGCAGCCTGTGGATTCGGTGATGTGTCCAGTGCGTCTCACTAATAAAGCAAGCCCTTTGCAGCAGTTGGGTTCTAGAGTGGTGGATACTACCTGTGAAGTCAGAGACTTGTAGGTTCAAACTTAGCCTCTGGTGCCCTTTGGACACAGTGCATGGCAGGCCCTGTCACATCTCTGCGTGCCCCAGGACTAAAGCTCGAAGTGGTCAAGCAAGTGCTGATCTGTATTGGGGAGTTCTTACACCAATGAAATCACATATCTGCTGCTGTCCCCCCCCCACCCCCCAAGTTAAAAGTTTATAGATAAATATACTGCACTAGGAGTGCTGGTGCTGATAGCAAGTAATTAGAAAGCAATGTTGGAGATATTATTTAATTAATTGTTAATATATAAGTAATATTTAAGTTAAATCCATTGGTTCTCCATTCCGCTTCTTCAACATTTTGACAGTCTCCATAAAGTTCAGTGTCAGAATGTATTCTTTTAAATGAGTTTTGGCAATCAAAAGTGGGTTTTTCATTAATGTTTTGAGTTAGATGGTTTCCTGGAGGAATATATATCCCTATGATTCGGTCATGAAGCAGTAGTGTTGAAATGAAGGTAAACTGTGACACATGCTCCAAGCACAATTTATTAACCAAGTGTGAATTTGCCAGTAAGCAGTCTCAGCCACCTCAGCAAGCCAAGACCCCCAAATGAGGGCAGACAGATCATTTTTATACCCAAAAGGAGAAGCATCCAAAAAACAAAATGCAATGTCAGAATGCAGTGTTATAGGTGGGGAAAACAATATGATTGGTTACAAAGTCGGAAGCATAGGCTTGGGGGGAAATATGATTGGATGGAAATCAGGAATGTGGGGCTATTGACAACCCCTCCTTCCATCTTGGTAGGGAATTCAGATTGAGTTAGTCCACCTGCAAGAGTATGAATGGCATATAGATAACCAATTTTCTTCTAATTGCGCAAGGACAGCTAGTAGGATAGAGATACCAGGTTTCTTTTAATTAAAGTGATTTATAGGGAAAATGAACTTTTAAACTTAACTCTGAGACGGAGACTGATCCTATGAACTTCTGAACTTAATTCAAAAACAAAGTAACATGACTTTGGCAGTTTTACAAAATGTTGGCAGTGGTGTATGACAGAATCAATTACCAAATAGAATCATTTCTGATTTTCTCAGTAGGAAGAGAGTTTTTACTATTTTTCAGAGATGTAACTGTCCTGTCTACAGATGGAACGTTTGTTTAGGACTTTTTCCATGAAGTTGCCCTCGACAATTAGATTTTACTGTGATTGTGTGATGGTGGAAGCAAGCTTAGGTTCAGCAGGTGGGTTGAGTAGAGCTGCTCACTGTTGATATCAAGAAGTGTGATTCAGTGGATTAGAAAAAGAGCCAGATACCAAGCCCTTGGTCAGTCACATTAATTCCTGTAGAATATCTGTAGAGAAGTGCCAGAACGCTGCTTGTACACTTGAATACTCCTTTTAAGTTATTAGCACCAGCGATAGACAGCGTTTGGGGCAATATCATCATTGGACAGTGTCAGATTTTTTATTTTGTAGCAAATCTAGCCTCAAACACTTTCAATTTTTCCATCCAAGAGAACATCGTGGCACAGTGAAGAGAGCTTGGAACCAGAAGGCCTGGGTTCAAATCCTACCTCTTGACAATCCAGTGCCTGTGACAACCTTGGACAAGCCACTTAACTCCCTGGGCCTCAGTTTCCTCATCTGCAAAATGAGGGTATTAGGCTAGATGACCTGAGGTTCTTCCCAGCTCTAGAGCAATGATTCTGTGACTCTCCCCATTACATTAAAACCGCAGGGAAAAAAGAGGCCATTAGTGCAGTCCTTGTTCTTGGCTGCTTTGTTGCAGGCTCTCATAATGCTTTCAGGCCTGTCCCCTGTTACCAGGGAGAAACACCTCAGGTGTCTGTGCAGTTGCCAACGGGAGTCCTTCAGGCATTGCTGGAGATCATGCGCTCTCTACCTTTTAGTAGCTGGTCAAGGCAGAAGAAATAAAAGTCATCACTTGGTAGTTAAATATCTAGCAGTGAGCTCCCCTGACAACGGACATAGGCCCAGTGCCACACACGCGCTACTCAATCACTGGCTTGTAACTTTGACACCGCAGGTCACTGCACACACAGGGGACCGCAGTGAAGGCAGGCACCCGAGAGCTGGCTTCTGAGAACGCCATTTAACTTTGAATGCTTTCTGTTTTCCAGTTTACAGTAAAGTACGTTTACCAAAAGTGTGAATAATTGTATTGAGAGTTTCTTGATCTGAATATCTAAAAGATAAATAATGTTTCTCTGATGTTTGCAGTGTATTGGTGGGTTTGCTTTTTTAATTTGGAAAGAATTCAAAACATTCTAACTATGAGGTAAATATTAATCAAAAAATAATTAAAATAAAATCAATTAAAAATTAATAAAAATAAATAGGTTATAAATGCCATTTGTTTGAGGTACTTGAATGTGTGGTTTTGTTATCGTTGATTTTGTTGGGGAAGGGGGGAATTCACAAAGCTTTATTAGGAAGGGAAAAAGCTTAGTAAGCTTTCTTGTTCACACATGGTATTGTTCTGAGCCGTGGTGAATTTTCAAGACTTGCTTTGGGATTAGAAATTAATGTGAAATTATCTGAAGTATAGTATTACATGCATATCTGATAGTGATGTTTGATAGACTTTTGTGTATTTATTAAAACTGAGGAAGGAGGTACAATCCTTGGGTCTAATTACATATAATTCATATAACTAGATAATAGACGGCATGTGGGGTTTTTTTTGTTTGTTTTGGTGAAGCATTTGGGGTTAAGTGACTGGCCCGGGTCACAGAACTAGTGTCAAGTGTCTGAGGTTGGATTTGAACCCAGTTCCTCGTGACTCCAAGGCCAGAGCTCTATCCACTGTGCCACCTAGTTGTCCCTGTGTGGGTTTTTTAAAGAGAGGAATCACACAACATGTTTTTAATCTTGAGAAATTCTGAGGTCCTTGGGCCATCTTACTTAGTAATAGCTTTTGTAAACATTCCACTCCTCCTGGTTTTTGAACGTCCTATTCTTTCATGCAGTAGATTTTCCTAGACCTATATTTTGCTCTCATGACGTGCAGAGGTCTGCCATTGGGAGACTTTGGAACTTTCTCCATGACTGCGTGTTCGGTTTTTGTCAGTTCATGTCATAGTTCTTGGTCTTTAGTGAGGGTTGGAAGGACATTTGAAATTACAAAAACACAATTCAAACATGTAAGTTTTAAAGTCATTGTGTTTCACTTGACTTCAGAAAAACTTCAAGTCATTCCACATGCACACATAGAATGTTAAAATCCCCAAATGCCAATGATAGTTCAGGCGAAAGAAGCTGTCTTGTCAGCATTTTTCTTACCTTTGTCAACAAATTGTGGTTGCAGACCATGTCAGCCCTCCCCGTCACCACACAGTGAGACCGCGCCAATCCCAGTGCCTACTCAGTTAAGGAATTATCAGCGGATTGAGCAAAACCTCTCCTCAGCCAGTCCTGGGACAAACCCCCATGGTTCTCCAAGGTGAGTTATTTCGGTGGCTACTTGTACTTTGAAAGTTGGGTTGTTCTCTGTTCCAGAATGCACCTCTTGGTTTGTCTTGTCTGCATGAAAAAAAGTATTCCCAAATGAAGCATCGCTTTATGGAAGGATTAAAATCTCCTTTTTGTAGCAGTTTCAACAGCCCTAAGAAGACCCATGGGCTGGGGGTGCCCTCATTTTCCACGCTGTTTTCTACATCCACTGCATTTTCATCAGCCAGCTGATGTCTGTCAGTGAATGATCAGCAATTAGCTGTCTCTGTTTTGAACAAATGGCTGTTCTTAACTTAATTCAGCTGGTGTTTGCTGTGTGGCTGCTGGGTTGTTTCTGCTTTCATTTTCATTTTTATTCTGGTCCTGTGATACTGGTAGAGAAAACTGAGAATGAGGAAATTCTCAGCCTCAGTTCTGTGGCCTGTGGTCTCAAGAGAGACACCCCAGAGCAGGAGCTATTAGCCCAGAAAAAAGGCATTTAACCCTCACAAAATTAATTCTGTTCAGGTACTCGTCCTGTTCTCTCTAAACTGACTACCCTCCAGGCTTCCACCCTGCCCTTCCTCATGATAGTGAGACTTATTCCCCATAGCACCTTCCATGAATCTGGCCATAGAGGAGACAGTCGATGCATTTGTGGGTCCAAAGCTGCTTGATGCGGTGGCGAGAGTACTGATCTGGAGTTCATACCCAGGATTTGAATCCTCGCTCTCCCCAGGCCAATGCTTGGTCATAAGACTTCAGATGGAATCTCTGTTCCAGCCCTTGGATAGATCACTCCCTTCTTTGAGCTTCAGTTTCTTCATTTGTAAAATCAAGAGGTTGGACTAGAGCACTTCTAAGCACTCCTTCAGTTCTTAGCCCTCTAGTGACATGTATGTCAGTGGGGAATGGAGTTCCCAGCACATTTACAATCCATCTGTGTTTCCTAAGAGTTGATGGACGTGTAAGAAAGTGCAAAATGGCCATAGAAATTTATTGGTTTTCTCTGGAAAATTGATTCCAAATGGTCAACAGACTGGCCTCGTTTTGTCCCTTCTAAATAGATCCTGTGTTGCCGCCACATGTGTCATCAGGGGTTTGCTCCTTTGTAAGTTTTTTGTTTCATGGTTAAGTGAAATTTTACGTTTTGGTGTTTGCCTTATGTGGGCTTAGTACGGTGGCAACACAGGAACAGGTAGCGGCTTCATTTTTGTGTCTAACCACGGCCTTCTCTCCATCCTCGTCTTTTTTGACCGCTCCGCAGCCTTTGACACTGTGGATCACCCTCTTCTCTTGACACTTCCTCCCTCTGGGTTTGGGTCTTTCCTCTTCTGGTTTTCCTTCCCGTTATTTAATGGCTCCTTCTCAGTCTCCTTTGCTGGACCTCATTCAGGCACACCTGCTATGAGTGTCCCATAGAGCTGTGCCCTGGGCCTTCTGTCTATCCATTTGCTCATTTCTTCAGCTCCCATGGATATTTTTGTTTTGTTGTGTTTTTGGTAAGGCAGTTAGGGTTCAGTGACTTGCCCGAGGTCACACAGCTAGTACTGTCATGTGTTTGGTCTGAGGCCGGATTTGAATTCAGGTCCTCCTGGCCCCCTCCCATGGATATTTCAGATATGCTTATGGAGCCCTGATCTCTTTGCTGACCTACAGTCATCTTCAGCTGCACATTAGTCATCTCTACCTGGATGCCGTGTAGACATGCCTTCTCACTGTGTCCAGTACTGAACTCATTTTTCTACCTGCAGCCTGAAACCTTCCCCCCTTCCAAACTTTTGTATTACCGTTGAGGACACTGCTCTCTCAGTCCTCTAGGCTTTCAACCTAGGAGTCATCCTGGACTTCTCACTGTCTCTCACATCCAAGCTGTTGCCAAGGCCTGTCAATCTCACCTTTGCAGCATCCCTCAAATACACCCCCTCCTCTCCTCTCACCCTGCCCCACCCTGGTGCAGACCCTCATCACCTCACTCCAGGATTATTGTCATAGCCTGATGGTGGGTTTGCCTGCCTCAGACCATGTCAGCCCTGCTATGCCATAAACTTCAGTGGTCCCCTTTCAACTCCAGCATCAAATATGAAATCCTCTATTTAGTGTTCAAAGTGCTTCATAACCAAGGTTCCCTATCCTGCCTTCAGGCTTCTTAGACCTTCCTCCCTAGCTTGTCCTCTGCCATTCAGTAACACAGGGCTTCTGGCTAGTCCTTGAACAAGACAGCTCCATCTCTAGGCTCGAGGCATTTTCACTGGCCGTCTCCCACTCCTGGAATGTTCTCCCTCCTCTGCCTTCTGGCTTCCTCCAAATTTCAGTTAAAATCTCCGCTTCTGCAGGAAACCTTTCCTGATCCCTTTTAATTCTAGTGCCTTCCCTCTTTGATTATACATGTTTGTTTGTGCATGGTTTTTCATGTTGTCCTCTCCAGTGGATTCTGAGCTTCTCAAGGGCTGGGCCTGGGTTTTGCCTTTCTTTGTATCCCCAGCATCTAGTGCAGTGACTAGCACTTAATAAATGCTTATTGCCTGACTAAAGTTTTTAGCACACTAGATCATAGGGGTTTTTCTTGAAATTCCACCTTTTAAAAAAAAACAACCCAAACTTTTCAGATCTGCAGTGGTACGAAGGTCTAATACCAGCCCTTTGGGCTTTCTGAAGATGGGCTCCTGCTCTCCAGTACCTGCAGACACAGTACAGACTGCTGGGCGTAGGCTTTCCACAGGGTCCTCCAGACCGTACTCTCCTTCTCCATTAGGTAAGGAAGGCATCAGAGATAAATTTGTCCTTAACTGATATGTGTGCTTGTAGAAAGCATTTTGTGGGTAAGTAAAAGGACCGTTGTTGGCATGTTTGTCTAATATGATTTCTACCTATGCAAATTGCATATTGTTAAAGTCAGGTGTTTGTAAAACCCTAATTTACTATGTTGTTCTGAGTGTTTGATGTTTCTGTTCTCTTACGGTGAGAGAGCTGTCAAACTTTCAGTTCTTTGTCCTTCTTTTGTAGTTGGCACTATCCCCGAACAGCTTGGCCACTGCTGTTGTGGACAGCCACAGGGTCATGACTCGAGGAGTAGAAATTCTTCAGGTGGGTCACTGTAGCCGGGGGATTCAATGGAATTCTACAGCTTAATTTTTTCCTAGTCTGTTCTCAGAGTAGAAGTGAGATACTTTTTTGACCCTTCAGTTTTTCAGCATTTTTTGTAAGCCATCTTTGGTTTAATTCATAGTTATTTCACTCTGTCACTGTGGTTGTCATCAGTGCTTCAGGAACTTGACTCCTAGGTTCCAAACAATCATATATAAACTTGATTATCTCCTTCAGACGGTGCTAAATGATGCAGAACATGAGCCATGGGTCTTCATAATATTCTCACTACTGTTCAAAATGTGACCTCCCAGCATTGCTGTGGCATGGCAGTCTAAACCAGGGGTAGGGGACCTGTGGCCTCGAGACCACATGTAGCCTTTTGACTGAGTCCAAGTTTTACAGAACAAATCCTTTTAGTAAGGGGATTTGTTTTGTGAAGTTTTGGATTTGATCAAAGGGATGCACTTGAGGACCTAGAGGACTACATGTGGCCCTGAGGTCACAGGTTCCCCACCCCCACCCCACCAAATGGATGGTTGGATTCCATTTCTCTCTTAACTGTATTTTCCCTTCTTTGGTTAACCGTTATTTCCTTCTGCGAGCTGCCAGTAGAGGCAGCGGATGGAGTTGTCCCTGTAAAATCCTGTCCTCTGAGAGCAGGGAGCACAGGGTCCATGAGCTGGATGTTGTGGGGAGGAGGCCAGAGAGTGCTCAGAGCAGCACATCATGGAAAGACGAGATGTTTTCCTCCCTGTCGTTTTAGATCTTTGACTGAAGCTTGTGTGTCTCATGCATGTAATACTGTAAGGTGTTAGTAAGATTGTGTGTTGTGCTCTTTCCTCCTTGTTCATTTTTCTTCATAGGTTCTCCAGTACCACAGTCGCAGTCACCGCAGTCTCTTTTGTTGGGTGCTAGGCTTCAGAGTGCCCCTACGCTTACTGATATCTACCAGAACAAACAGAAGCTTCGAAAGCAGCATTCTGACCCTGTGTGCCCATCCCATGCAGCATTTGGATATAGCTACTCACCACAGCCGAGTAGGCCAGTCAGCCTTGGGACCTCCCCCACTAAGCACATGGGATCTTCTCCTAGGAGCTCGGACTGGCTATTTAAAACTCCTTTACCAACAATCATTGGCTCTCCCACTAAGGTTGGTTTATTAAACTGTGTTATAAGTTGAGAAACGTGGGAGTACTTCACCCAAAGCTTCTATCTTTTAGTGTGTCGTAAGTGGAAAATGAATAAGCATTCTATTAAAATCATCTTAAATGTGTTTTTCTAGGCCACAGCTCCTTCTAAGATCCCCAAGACCCAAGCATCTTCCAATTTGCTAGCCTTGGTTACTCGTCAGGGACCACCAGATGTGCCAGCTAAAGATGTGAGTGACCCACGAGAGTTCTCACATTTTCTCTCAGCCCAAGGAAGTGAAAGGCAGGTGGCTGAGCAGCATAGCAAGGCCACATTTGGCAGGTAAAATAATTCAATTTAACAATTTTTCTTTGTAATCTTAAATATAAAAAAAGATAATAGCATAAACATTTTCCCTTATAAATTATAAGACTTTAATAAACAGCTTTACATACTGGGGATATGATATGAAATTTCTTCTGTGGACATATAACACTTCTGAAAATTACAGATGTGTCCTATGTAGCATAAATATAGTATTGACTTTCTGGACCTTTTGACCATCCTATTTTTGTTTTGATATTGAAAATTTGTTTCCTCCCTACAATCTCCCTTCCCACCCTGAGAAAATTGCCCGTTTTGTGGACTACTTATAGCTTCAATATAGCCTTAAGTCTTTTTGGCACTCAGAGTAATTTTCAAGATTAAGTATTCTCTTTTCCGTTGACAACATTACTGTCCTTTTATAGATCTGTAAGTACTGGGAAATTGTCAGATCAACAAGTGAAGACGCCCTTGGGTGGGCAGCTGTATCAGGGCAGTACAGACAGTCTCAACACAGAACGACCAATGGATACAGGTAAGAAGAATCAGGTTTCATTTTAAACATAGAAGTTAAACAGTACTGGCAGGTTTAATTTTTATGGCCATTTTTCTTCTGCCTGCCTACCCAGCTATCTGCCTATTTTTTTGGTTATGGTTCTAGCACTGGGAGAAAAAAGTTAAGCCTAACTCATAATAAAAATCAGTCTTAAGGATATAGCAAGTCTTTCACTCAGATTTAAAGTAAAAATTATACTTTCTTATCAAACAATGGCACTGCTGAAATCTTTAGCATTAGAAATAGCGTGTTGAAACTTGGCACTATAGAAAAGAGGAAATGGCTTTATTACCTGACATTTTGAATTCAGCTTCATATTTCTTACTAGGTAAATGTTCCCTTAAACATATTTATGTTTAATCAGCAGCAAAGACTAATCAATTAAACATCCATTACAAGTAGAGCACTTGTGAATTCTTTTGTATAGAAAGATCCTTTTTGTGATTTCTTAGGCTAACGTTCTAACAGTACAGTCGCTGAGCCAGATGGTTTGTTCGGTTTTGTGACACTTTCCAAAATGTCTCCACCAGTCTGAGCTCCACCAGAAGCATGCCGGCCAGCCTGCATTAAGCCGTGGGCCCGGCCTGGGATCAGACACTGGGCATACAAAGACCCCAGTCCCAAAGTCCCTCTTCTGAAGGAGCTGACCTTCCAAACATAGCTCTTCTACAGGTGACTCCCTGCCAATTTGGGATTCTGTCAGTTTGTGCTATTTTTGTCCTTTTAAAAAACTTCTCTTATATTTTCTGCGTATATTGCTTAACGTGCCTTATAGGCTGCTAGTGGCCATAAGTGTGTTGATTTTGGAATCTTTGAGTTGATTGTGCCCAGGCCCTGATGGTTTTTCTAGAAACTTCTAGACCATTTCTCTTCCATTGATCTTTAATACTCTTTCTTCTGAGTCCTTGTGCTCTGTCTCCCTTATGTTCACTCTATCCTTTTTGATGTCTTCTGCTTACGTACCTCTTGAGTATTCACAATTTTCCCAGTAGCCTTCTTCCTCGCTCCCCCATCCCCTGCCTTAGTTCTTTTTTTTTTTTTTCTTTTTTAGGCAATTGGGGTTGAGTGACTTGGCCAGGGTCACACAGCTAGTAAGTGTCACGTGTTTGGTCTAAGGCTGGATTTGAACTCAGGTCCTCCTGATTTCAGGCCGGTGTTCTATCCACTCACTACATCACCTAGCTGCCCCCTACCCCCGCCTTAGTTCTTGATTGGACCTCAGTATTTATATTGATCGCGTCTCTAACATCTTGACTACACGATTCCTCCCCTCCAGTCCTCTCCTTCGTTTCCAGTTCACCTGCACAGAGGCACCTTCAGCCTACCTCATCCTCTTAGGCCATTAACATTTCCAAGGTATTACAATTTCCTCTCCTCCTCCTCCGAGTCTTCTCATACTCAGTATGTTCTTTGCCCTCATCTTGTCTTTTTGTCTATGAGATTGTGTTCTTGACCCGGTGCATGGTACATAGTAAGCACTTAATAAATGCATGTTGACTAATTGGTTCATCAATTGCTCCAACTCAGTCCATCTTGACCATTCTGGCTTCTTCTCTTGCTGCTTAGTGTTGATACTCCCTTGTCCTAGGGATGCCTTGTTATTTCCAGTCCATTCATATATCCTGGCCCTAAGAAAAAGCAAAATATGGAAATTGAATTTAATTTTGTTTAGAGATAGCATGATATAGTGGAGGGCTGACTTGTTAGGGACCCTGGGTTCCAGTCCAGGTTCCAAACCTTATTAATTGTGCAGCCAACCCACAGGGAGGTTCTGCCGCCTCCCATCTCTGGAGTGTAAGTAGCGTCACCTTTGTGTGTGTGCACAAGGTTAGAGTGAGGAAAGTGTTCTTTCTGGAAGCCTGTATTGTATTATATTGTATTTGTGGTGATTATGGTGATGTCTATGAAATGTAAAAAGGAGAGAATAAATTCTGGATTTTAACGTTCTTAGAGAATCTATTTTGGTAGCAGCATCCTTCTGCTGATTTTGGTTTTTTTCCTTCTTCAATAAATTCGTGTTGCAAACACTATTTTGGAATGACAGCCCAAATCTGGCTGCTTCTCTCCACAGCTGTTAAAGCAATAACTCCCAATTTTTGTAAGCCTTGATTTTTCTTTGACTCTTCTATCCCTGTGTCTGCATCTGTATTTGTGGTATTATTGTTGAGATTTGAGAAGTTTTCCAATAAGATTATTTCCAATATTCTGTAAATTAAGAACAAGATAGCTATATTTATATATCCATCTATATATTTATAGATATATATCTATACATATGTCTATATCTATAGATAGATAGATACCCTATTCTTTATTCTCTCTCTCTCTTAACTTTTTAAGACAATATATGCCAAGGCAAAAGCAACGCCATTTTTGACCTCTTTATAGACTCGTCCTGATAATTAACAAGTCGTGCTTTTAGTCCTTGGCTCTGGTTTCCTCCAGGATGAGTCAGAGCACCCTTCCAGTTGTTTCTGTGTATAGTGTTTGTGTCCATGTTGGAAATCTGTTGGTAAACTAGCTGTGGTTGACAAGGGTTAGTTTTAGAGTTAGTCGTTTTCACACTGACGTTTTTTGGTTCTCTTGCAGATGATTCCAAGTTTACAGAGTCACCAGACACCTGGTTTTTGAGATCACAGATAGGAAAAGGCAGTTTGTGCCTCAATCAGATAGGCTGAGCTCTCTCTAGCTGTCCTTGACAGCTCATGTGAAATCTGACTATAAGGTAGCTTGGAGCTAGCTCAGTGTAGATTCCTTAAATTGGTGTGGACAGAATTCTTTCTGAAGGGGAGAGTCTGAAAAAAGACTTCTGTTTGGGCTCTTCAGCAGCCCTGAATTTGGTTTTGGGAATGGTATAGAAAAAGGGGAGAGAATATCCTAGGCCTGTATGGGTATCACTACAAGAGACCAAAGCCTGTAACTTCTAGGGGGGCCCTAAGGGGGAAAATGTCCCTTCTGCCCTCATTTATCGTGTCCAGACCAGCTGTGAAAGAGTTTGGTGGAAGGGAGAAGGGATAGGTTGCTCTGGGGACAGTCATCTAAGGAACCTGCTTGCAGCTTAGGGTGAGCATCAGATCCTGATGCTTGAGACTGAGCAGGACCAGGGACAGTAAAGTTCCTGATTGTATGGGGGATGAAAGTTTCTTCTGGAGGAGTGAATGTGTGATTTTAATAATAAAGTCAACGAGGAAAATGGAGCTGATCTGATGGAATTTCACTTAAAAGCAGTGTTTAGCAAGCACATCTATTCAGTAGCCCAGCAGAGCCATCACCAGGCCTTAGCAGTCACTTGGTTGTGTCCAGATTCTGTTTTCTGACTGTTCTCTAATAACAATGACTTGTGCTTGCTCAGTGGTGACAGTCTGTCTTGGGCATCATCTCTTACTCTCATCTTGACCTTCTGTCGTAGAGGCACAACCATGCTGTTCCCCTCTTAGAGCTCACACATGACCATAGCTAGGAGATGGGGCTCCCATACCAGCGCACTTTCTCCTGCGGTGTGGACTAGAGGTTTCTCTAGGAGAGCAAGAGCGGGTTTGGCTTGTGTTTTGCTAGAAATCATACTTACCTTGTGCCCTTCTTTTGTAGCTCCCGCAGGGGCCTGTGGCGTTGTTCTGGGACCTCCTGGGGCCACCGGGGCCAGTTCTAGGGCTGTAATGTTTACCGTTGGATCTCCTCCCAACAGTGCTACACCTCCTACTTGCACCCAAATGGTTCTTCGTACGAGGACAACTTCAGGTGAGCCATCACTTTCTTATGGCAGGCTTTGAATAGGGATAGTTAGACTGGTAGCTGGAGGTACCATCTTGATAACTGTAGATGATTTCAACTTGGATCTAATACAGATGGTGCCTTGGACGTTCTAATCGAGTTTGTTGCTGGCTCACTGTGGGCCGCAGAGGCAGGTCAGAGAACCTCTTGGGACCTTCTTTCTCATTTCATAGATGAGCAAACTAATGTTTGTGGTCAACATCTTACAGTATTTTAAAAGTGTGAGAATCTGTGGGGTAAAGGTATCATATTTTTAAAATGTGAATTATCTGTTGATGGAATAATTTAAAGGATAAATGAGCAGTTGTTGGTGTTTTAGATGATACCTGGAAGGCCTGTGACAGTAGACCCAAACAACTTTTGAAAGTGATAGTTGTGCTAGATACCAACGTGGCGCTGCGAGTGAGTTTCTCCTTTTGGGGAAATAGTTTTTCTTAACATTTTGCATAGGATTCAGCCAGGTTTCCAATTTTATGAATACGGAAAGCATGAAGATAGAATAGTGTATTTTCCCTCTTTTCTCATTTGATATCGACTCACTGGTTCTTGTATGTCTTTAGACCTATGATGTTAAATAAGTAGAAGAATTAATGGATCATCCCCAGGAGACTTCTTTTTTTTCTATTTCTATGCAGTTGGATCCAGCAGTTCTGGAGGGTCTCTCTGCTCCACCAGTGGCCGTGTCTACATGGGCTCCCCTCCCGGCATTTACATGGGTTCTTCTCCGCCGGGAGCAGAGGCAGCACCGAGCCTGAAGTATGCGCCCTATGGGACGTCCCCTCCTAGCTTGGAGGGCTTTATCACTTTTGAAGCTCCAGAACTTCCAGAAGAGACTCTGATGGAGGTAGTGACGGAGACTTTGGCATTTTAATGTCATGTTTAATACAATAATGGGTTAGAAAAGGCACCACTGAGTCACACTTGGAAGCTTTTTTCTTTGTCTTTTTCATCCAAAAAATGCTGTTTAATTCTTTTCTGAATAAAGTAAACATGACCTTCTCAGCCCACAGTTTAAGAAGTGCTGATCTAGGGAATACCCAAGGAGGCCCAGCACTAAAAAAATCACTTATTTTCACAGTTTGTTCTTCTCTGTAAGACAGGGAAAACTCACATATATTCAGGATTGTTAAAAATGGGAAAACTGCCCGTGTTGCTAGAGACCAGCCTACTCCTGCCACCCCCTCCAGAATCCCTGTTGTCTATAAACAGATCAAGCAAAGGGTTTTATGTCAAATGAGAACCAAATCAGAACGTGTTCTGATGTTTTTAATCTTCAAAAGGGCATCCTGAAATAATAGACACTCCTTTCTGGATGAGACTTTTAGGGATGTTAGGAATTCTGTTCTCCAAACTCAGTAAGGCCCATCAAACCGCAGAGCTTTCAGCTTGCTTCTCTCCCCAGACTAGATGAGGGCATGAGCATCATTCCCTCTCTTCCTGCCTTGGGAAACCAAACACTCTGGTGGCCCCAAGAAAGAGAGAGGGCAGTTTATGTGCTTCTCCCCCACCCCAGGATCTGTTTCCTTTATCTCATTAAAGCCCTGTCAGGCCAGCCTTCCCTTTTGTCTCCAGTGGAGAAGGAGCAGGTAGGCTGTCACCAGCCTTTGCTATTAATTAAACTGGTGGCAGTTTCCTAGAGCCACTTGGTCAGCTGGGTTTCTTTTTTGCCTGTAAGACTTATTCCTTCGTCCCTGTCATGTATCCCTTCTTAATCATGCCGACACAGAATTAGGGGAAAGCTAAACTAAAGGGTGCAGAGGGGAGTAGTGCATCAGGCCTTCACTCGATCCAGTTGGCCTGTCCAGACATCTTCTGCCGTTTGGGTAGTTTGACAATGATTGAAGACAAAGTCACACAAACACATGTGTACCTTGAAGGAGGAATGTGGTGCTCCCTGCAGAGCGCTCAGACACAAAGAGAAATTAACCTTTGAAATTTGTGTTGTCGGCATAAGGGAGTGTACACCTGAGCTTTAAGATGAAATCTGTTGGGGTGTTGTTTACTGAAGCTGGTGGTAACGAGAAGAGCGTAAGGTTCCTGAGAGCAGAGGTCGTTTTGTTTTTGTCTTCTTGTCTCTGGCCCATAGCACGGTGCCTGGCCCAATTGTAATGGAATTGCTTTGAAACTTTGAACCTTACTGGACCACTGTTGTGGGCGGTGGTAGAGACATGCATGTGTGTTAAGAGATGTCCTCCTCTTCCCCACAGAGGGAGCACACGGACACACTGCGCCATCTGAACACGATGCTGACGTTCACTGAGTGCGTGCTGGATCTGACGGCCATCAGGGGAGGGAACCCCGAGCTGTGCACGTCGGCCGTGTCGCTGTATCAGATCCAGGAGAGCGTAGTAGTAGATCAGATAAGCCAGCTGAGCAAAGACTGGGGGTATGTGCCTTCCCTTCACTGGCGTGTGGCACACAACGGCCTTTCCTCCCTTTTCTCCACTCCCATTACAGTAGGCTTCCAGAGGGGAGGTGGGAGGAGACCCTGCTGTAGCTTCATTGTGTTAAGGCCACTAGTGGGACTTGGGAATGCTTTCTTGTAGAGAGACTTGGATCTGCATAGGCGCCGCTGAGACCCTGGAGCAGCAGGCGGCCCTGCAGGCCAGGCAGCCTCGCCCCGTGGCCCTGTTGAGGCCTTGGCGCCTCCTGCCGTGCCTTTTCTTATTTTAAGAACTTCTCTTTTTAATTCTGAACAACACCATCAGCAAACATGAACATTCAGTAGACAAAAAACATCAGAGAGGATAATATTTGAAACTTGGATCTGTCACATTTTTTAAAGAAGTTTTATTAAATTTAGTACAAGGATAAAAAACTGCCCCGTTTGTCTGTGGCCAGGTGAGAAAAGAAGACATTTTGTGAGGTTTGTGTTAGTCCCCTGTGTTCTCCCTGACCGTCCAAATGCGCGGGAACAATTTGTTGACGGACTGAAAGACATAGAGTCCTCTTGGTACCAAGAAGCATAAAACGGGGGGCCTGCCCCACTCTTTTTTCCCTTTTTTTTTTATGACCATGCCACTTTACAATCCCCACTCCCCCTTTCTTTATTACACATAAGTGCAGCCAAGCAGAGCACACAGGCTGGCCTGAAGCACATGTCCCACAGTGTAGTTCTGACCCACCATCTCTGCCAGGAGGCATCAGTCCTGTCTGGGTTATCTAGTCAATCGTCCTCTTGATTTTGCTTATTTTCCTCTGCCCGTGCCTTTCCAGGTTTCTCTCATTTGCATTAGTTTGTTAGGATGCAGTGATCTTACATTCCATCCCTCTGGGTTCCTTTGAAGACTGTTCCAGCTCCCCAGGGCAGGGGGCCTTTCACCTTCACCCCCACCGTGGTGGTCTGTGCCTGAATGGGAGCTTCATGAGGGCAGGGACCAGGTTTTTGTCTTTCTTTGTATCCTGGCCTAACACAAAGCAAACTCCTGATTAATAAATGCTTGTTCCCTGAGCAGTTTGGGCAGCCACGTCTTCCTTCCACTTTGTTGCTATCACAATTGCTGCGACTATTTTGTTACAAACAGAACCTTTCCCTCTCTCTTGGACCTCCTTGGAGTCGATGCCTAGTAGTGATATCATTTAGGAACCTTTTTTGTAATAATTCCAAATTGTTTTCCAGAACAGCGAGACCGGTGCACAGCTCTGCCAACAGTGGACTCATGTGTCCCTCTTCCTCTAGCCTTTTCCAGTATTTACCCTTTTCATTTTTGCCAGTTTAAGAGCATGAAGCAAAAACTTCAGTTGTTTTCATTTGAATTTTTTAGTGATTGTTTGTAGCATTCTTATGACTGGTGATAATTTAGCTTTCTTTAGAAGATTGCCTTTCCATATCTTTTAAATTGTTATCCGTGGGAGAATGTCTCTAGATGTTTCTCTCTTGACATGTACATGGTACCTGGCTGATGTTTCTCAGGATGGAAAAGTTTCTCTCTCTTTTTTTTTTGCTTTTTGGTGAGGCACTTGTGGTTAAGTGACTTGCCCAGGGTCACACAGCTAGTTATGTGTCAAGCGTCTGAGGCCAGATTTGAACTCAGGTCCTCCTGACTCCAAGGCTGGAGCTCTATGCACTGCGCCACCTAGCTGCCCCTTTTTTTTCTTTCTTCCTTTCTTTTTTTTTTTTTCTTTTTGCTTTTTGGTGAGGCACTTGGAGTTAAGTGGCTTGCCCAGGGTCACGCAGCTAGTTAAGGAAAAGTTTCTCAACCAGCAAGCGCTTTTAAGCACCCACAATGTGCCAGACACCATGCTAAGAGCTGAGGGGATAGAAAATAGCAATGATGGTCCTTGTTCTGAAGAAGCTTACATCATATATTAGATGTGTGGAAATGTAGGTATATATCACTCAATCAGCAGTTATTTCTTAAATGCCTACTGTGTGGTAGACATCATCCTAGATGTGGGGAGGCAAGTATGCCTAAAAATAAAGCATAACTCTAAAGGAAATTTAAAAACAAACATGCGAGGTGGTTAGGGAGTGACTTCATGTCGAAGGCGGTGCTCAAACTCTGTCTCCATGGAAGAGAAGGACCTGTGAGTGGGAGGGGAAGAAGGGAGGGTTTTTCTGGTGTGTGGGATGGCCAGCACAGATGGAGCATCGCCTGTGAGGAAAAGAGAAAAGGCCAGTTTGGTTGGATCATAGAGTACAGCAAAGAAAGTCACGTCCTGGGAGCCCAGGAGATTGTGGGCAGCTTTGAAAGCTCCGTGTAGAGTCACCACCGCCTTAGATTTTTACTTCAGGACAAGAACTTTGGCAGCTGGGTCTAGGATAGCCTGGAGCCCGGGGGAGGGTGAGACACGTCAGGAGGTTTTTGTGCTAATCTAACAAGATGACTGCAGGGGAGGGCCTAGATCCCAGCCAGACTCACCCAATTCAGTGTATGGGTTGAGGGAGAAGGAGGAGTGGATAAAAATGCCAGGATGGTGAACTGAGGCCCTCGGAGGAGGACGGAGGGGCCCACAACAGAAATCAGAGAAAGAAGTCCTTTTTGGACATGGTAAGCTCAAGACGTCTCTGGGACATGCATCCAGTTTGGAATGTCCAGTAGACAGTTGTTGGTGCTGGACTGAGTCTTAGGAGACAATAGAACTGGAAACATCTGTGATTCATCAGCATAGGGATGATAGTAACCTAATTAGCTGATTAGGTGAGAGAGAGTGAAGAGGGAGAAGAGAAGGCGGCTAGGACAGGAAGCCCCCATCATGGCCTCATTTCTCTTAGTAAGTTGCAGGGTCCTTAATTGGGGGCAAGAAGGAATATGGGATGTTTGGAGGAGGGAGAAGTTTTGGAATGTCTTCCGTGGGGAGTGAAATAGGGAATGGGTTAGGGAGGAATGGAAGGCGTGTTCTGCTGTATTGAGGCCCCGGTCAAGGTTGGACGCCATGACTTTGTAGGGAACCCACGTGGTATGGCTGTGAGACTTGGAAGCCTGTGGCAGTGTTCAGTGGTCCATGAGGAGGTGTCAGGGAGCTGGCGTGGAGAGGAGAGGACCCTGTAGGGATGACAAGGCACTGGGGTGAGATTAGAAAGAGAAGGAGATAAAGCCAGAATGAGGATCGTGGTTAGAATGTGTGAGGGTAGAAGGCTGGGAGGTCACGGTCAGGGTTTCTTGTTTGGGCTTTATACCCCACCCTTGCTCTTGACTTGACCATCCCTTCTTTGGCTGAGACAAAGTGAAGGAAGAAGGAGGTGGAGGGAGCCTCTGTGGGCTGTGAAGGCCCCTGGCAGTAGAAAGGGAGGAGAGGAAGGTGGTGAGGCAGGTGCTGGACTCCTTGAAAAAGGAAGGAGAAGGAAATTTTGATTAAGTGGACTTCAGGAGAGGAAAGGTCTTAAGGAGGATGTCAGAGGGAAGGTACTGGCAGCTAAGGGACAAGGAAGACCTCCAGGGAGGGTGGCCTCTGAACTGAGGCTTGACGGAATCCAGGATCATAAGTGGAGGTGAGGAGGGGGAGCTTGGGGAGCGGCACGGAACAAAATCTTGTCCTTTGGGGGATCCGGAGGCAGCTCTCCTGCCCCAGCCTGCTGCTTGGGTCCTTCTTTGAGTGACTTGACTTATCTTTGAGGCTGGGGTCTCCTCAGATTGATCGTCAGGCACATTGGAAAGCCTGACACCCCAGTGGGACGGTTGTTTGTAGACAGCAGCATATATGTGGTAAGGCACAAATCATTCTCTTTGCTTCTGAAGAAAGAAACGGCACCCCCCATCTGGGACGAGGCCGTTCAGCCGGAGGCAGCTGGACAATGAAAGCTGCCTCTGCAGGGACTCTAAAGCTGAACTTGTTTGCCTTTAACTGCCTTGCCTCATGAGAGATAGCTCGGATGCAGTCACCACTTTGTCACTGGCCCAGAGAATGAAAGGTAGATAATTAAGTCATTTGCCCCAATTTGAAAGGGAAGTAGCCAGATTAAAATGTGAAGAAAAAATGCCGAAGGATTGGTTTAGGCCAAAATTCAGGTGACAGTGCTCCATAGTCTGGGCATCTTCGCCAGTATTCCTCTAGAGGAAGTAGCACAAAGCTCTCGGCACAGAAAAGAGGTCTGACTGTGGCTTGGAGAAGATAAACATTTCCATCCCTTTCATCCCCTCCTCCCTAGGCTCTTTTCCCCCAAATACTCTTCTCCCAAAAGGTCAAATTCACATTTTGTTTATGTCCCGTGGTTGACTCTGACCTTTTTTCCATTTGTGTGAGTCTCAGCTTGGAATTCATATAACTTTAACATTTATTTTACAAGTAACTGTCAAACATTTAGCAGTGAAATAAATGCTTTGTCCTGTGTGTGTGGGTTTTTTTTTTTTTTTTTTTATTATGGTGAGTTTTTTGTGTTAGAACATGACTTTGATGGTATGCCTGGCCCAGGCCTGTCAGCTGAAAAGGAGGCTCTTTATGGTCACCATTGTTGGCAGGGAGGGGGTTGGACCCTTTTTCCTATTTCTGTAGCTACTGTGCCTGTAGATCAAGGGGTCACGTTAGCATCACGACAGCATTGGACAGCCACTCGGGCAACACTTGTAGACGTGTGTGGGATATTCAATGATGGAAGTATGCATTCTCTGATTTTAATCGGGGCAGAGACTTGTCTGTCCTTTTTGTTTCTTTTAATTTTCCTATTTTGCTAATGCGTAGTCATTCAGGGTTGGGGACTAACACGTTCCATTTTACCTTCAGAAGTTTTACGTCCTCCTTTTTTACCCTAAGGATGGTGAGATGTATGTTAGTAGACTGCTAAAAGAGCTAGCCTGATAGAAATTAAGTCTGATGTTTAAAATCTGAATCCTCGTGTTTCCTCTTTAGACAAGTAGAACAGCTGGTATTATACATGAAAGCGGCCCAGCTGCTTGCGTCATCTTTGCATCTTGCCAAAGCCCAGATCAAATCAGGGAAACTGAACCCATCTACAGCTGTTAAACAAGGTATGGAAATCAGCAACAGTAGTTACTGTCTGGTTTCAGTGACTCCTTTAATTATTGCAGTATGAGCTTAGAGGAGTTACTTAAGAAATAAAAAGAAGAAAGTGTATGCGCTATGCAGTAGATGGAAAAAAAAGATGTCAAAAGGACTTCTTTATTAATGTTATTTTAATCAAAAGAAAGCCTTAGGGGGGAGAATGGATTTTTTAATCACATTTTCTAAGATCAATCCTACTTGTGTAGCTAGGGTGATGAAGTAGGAAGAGGCAAATCAGGGGATCTTTTCTATTTCTAGTATTGATAAATTTGTGCTGTATCTTGACTTTTCCAGTTGTCAAAAATCTGAATGAGAGATATAAATTCTGTATCACCATGTGCAAGAAACTTACAGAAAAGCTGAATCGCTTCTTCTCTGACAAGCAAAGATTCATCGATGAAATCAACAGTGTGACTGCAGAGAAACTCATCTACAATTGTGCTGTAGAAATGGTAAACCTGTTTGTGCGGTTTAAATGGGAGTAGGAGAGGCTCTCCAAATATGACTTCTTCTGTCTTTGAAGGGAACCTGTTGACTCGCATCAGTCATCTCTTTAGCACCATTTCTTCCCTTTAAAAGAATGTTCAGGGTTGTCTTCACTCTGAATCTGTGATTGGGTTGTAAGGGAATAAATCTAAAAGCTTTCTGTTGCCTAATTGTTCATGTAATTTTCACATTGAATTCAAGAAGTGTGCTTGCTGTGTGCAGTTCAGTTCTTGGCAGTAGGAGTCACTCAGTGGAAGAAGGCAATCCCTGCTTTAATGATACTTAGAGTCTAGTAGACTATAAGGTGCTGTGTGGTCCATTGTAGGAAAAATCATTTACAACTGTGGGAATCAGGGAAGGCTTCATGGAAGTGGTAGCATCTGAAGTGGGTCTTGAAGCTTGAAGTATTTTCACAGGCTGAATGGCAAAGGCATGAACCAAAGGCCCTGAGGTGGGCTAGCAAGGTCCCTGTGAAGGGGATAGCCAGGATGTGGTTCTAGTCTGTGGAGAGATTTGGAAAGGGAGGTTGGGAACAGAGTAGGGGTGGGAGGGTTGAACAGACCCCCTCAGCCCTGTTCTTCAGAAAGATGCGCCGTGTGGTAGAGTTACTTCAGTGGACCCATGTTCTCATCTGTGGGAACATCTCCCCAAAAGGGTGTGTCAAGCTCAGCCACACCTGTGAATTGATTTTTACGCTCTCCTCCCCCCAACCCTCCATTGCAGAGCACAGAAGGGTCCGTGTAAGCAGGACGAACAATCAAACATGAGGAAGGCCCCACTTTAGCCTTGGATTGCTCCTGTTCATGTGCTGCTGAATGAAGCCAGAGACAAATCTGGAAATCCTGCTGGTTGGGCCCTCACGGTGTCAGGGCTGTCCTTTTATACATCCCATGGCTCCCCCTCCCCAGATCCTCTCGGCTGAGAACCAAACTCAGGCCTTCACTGAGAACTCCTCCTTCTCCCTGACTCAAACGAGGAGGAGGCCCCTCTCCTGGCCAAGGGGAACCCTTTTGTGTGTACAGTGACTGAACCATCCTGTCATCCCTGCCCTCTTTCATTCCCTCGTTTATCTTCAATCTCCTCATCTACTAGCTGCTTTCCAGACTGCTTACAGGCACGTCTCCCTGATCCTCAGAAAATCCTCACTTGATTCCCCATCCCCACTACCTTTCATCCCCTCTCTCTGTCTCCGTCCTGTGCCACACCCCACCAGCTTTTTGTGGCTGTCTCCAATCAGCGTCCCCACTTCCCTTCCACTCATTTCAGCTCTCTGCAGTCTGGCTTCCAGCCACATTATCCCATGGAAACCTCTCTCCAGAATTACCTACATTCTTATGGCCAAATCTAATGGACTTTTCTCAGTCCTTGTCCTTCTGTAGCTCACTGATCAGCCTTTGACCCTGTCCACCCTCTTCTCCTTGCTGCTGTCTCCACTGTGGTGACATGGCTCTCCTGTTTCTTGTACCTCTCTCATCACTCCTCATTCTCTTTTTCTGGAACTTTGTCCAGGTCATGTCTATTTGCTGTGGGTATCCCCGAGGGATATTGTTCATTTTCACAGATGGAGAGCCCAGGTCCGTCTTCTTTTCTCCCTGATCTCATCAGCTACCACAGATTTAGTTCATATTCACCTCTCTGCCCATGATTCTCATTTTCATTTGTGCAGTCCTAACCTCCAATCTGACATCTCCAACCCTTAATGTCTTGTAGATGTCTTAAACTCCATCTTCTCCACCAAACCCTCACCTTTTCCTAACTTGCCTATGACTGTCCATGGTATCATCATTCTCTACTCCTCACTTGCTTATCTCTGTCCCTTTCTTTCCTTTGATACTGGCACAGGCATGGACTGTTGCAGTAGTCTTTCGGTCAGTCTTCTTGCCATAATTCTCTCCATTCTGGTCCATCCTCTCCTCCGATGTCAGAGTGACCTTCCTTAAGCACAGATCTGACCATGTCACACACACCCCTTTCGCTCACTAGTCAGCAGACCACAGTGGCTCCCTGTTACCTCCAAGATCAAATGGATGATCCTGTTTGGCTTTTAGAGGCCTCTGTAACAGGGTCCCTTTCTATCTTTTTAGTCTTTTTAAGCGCTATTGACCTCCACGTATGTCCTCTGTGATCCAACAGTCCTGGCCTCATTATCCTGACTGCGTTCTCACTGCCTGTCCCTTGTGGGTGGAACGCTCGCGTTTCCTTCCTCTGGCTTCTTCCAGGTCTCCGCCAGAGCTCCACGTTGTGGTCCTCTTTACCCTCAGGGCTTTCTCTCTGAGACTGCTCCTGGTTTATCCTGTCTATGGTTTGTTTGCTTATTGTCTGCCATCTCTGATGACTGGAGGAGAGGGTGAGGCTGGCAACTTTGCCCAGCTCTGCCTCGCTCAAATCCAGTGAGTCAAGACATCAAGATGTCCTTGGTCTTCTTCGAGAATGAAGGCTAAAGGATCGACAACAACACAGTCTCCCATCTTGTTAGACTGTAAGAAGGGTCCTGGAGAACAGACTGTCTTGCCTTTCTCTGTATCCTAGGGCTTGGGACGGTTCCTAGCACATAGTAGGCTCTTAGTAGTTGCTTGTTGACCTGACTATTCACGCTTTACTTGTAACTATTGGATGTTATTTTTATAAAAAAATTTTTCTGCATTTTAAGCAGTTTGGCTGTGGTAAAGCCATTAAGAAAATGCACGCTTTGACTCACCTACCTAGCAGCAATGCACAGACTCAGATTTTGTTTTCAGGTTACTGAAGCATAAAAACAAGATAAGTCACTTCTCTAATTGCTTGGTTTTAGTATGAAAGGGAGATTGATTGTGTGATCATCTGTAACCAAAAATATATCTATTGAAATGGAGATGTGAACAATGTTAAAAATCAGAAATGGGGGAGAGGGGGAAGCTTGAACAAAGCCTAAATGTGATATTTTATCTAAAATTCTCACCATTAGGTGAAACCCAGTTGTCCAGGCAGTTTCAGGTAATCTTTGCTTCCTTATAACATGAAAGACTAATTGCACAGAACAACTCTTGATTCATTATATATATTTAAAGATCTAAATTTAATTAGTAGAGATCTCTAATTTAGATACCTAAATCATAATGGACTTATTTGCTACCCACAGATATGTTTAAAACCTATTTCATAATTTAAAGGCAAAGGAATGATATTTCTGCAGTGGGTATGTCCTTTAGATTAGTTTTTAAAAATACATTTTATTGATACCATTTGTTTCCACATCACTTACATTTATCAAAGTGCACCCTCCCCATCCTGTTCCATAGATCCAGCCTTTCTAACAAAGGACAAAAAGGAGGAAAAAAAACCAGTTGAGCGAAATTAACCAACACATTGAAGGATTCTGCTGCTCTGTGCAGTGGGCCATGGCCACAGGCCCCCTCTTTGGTCAGGTAGAGAGGAGGCAGGGGCCCCTTTGGCCATTCTGCTGGCACACAGCTTCAGGTTCTGTGCTCCTCCTTGGCTGTGGTGTTTTCTGGAGTCCTGCTTATTTGATGAGCCCTCTGCATGAGCCCCTCCGAGCCAGGCTTTCTGTGCTCCTCCAGGCCATGCACAGACTGGGTCTTGATGCTGCTCTCAGAGTGGTGTGATGGAGGGACTGCAGTGGGTAGGGAGGGGCTGGAGGCACTTGGGCCAACTCACGACTTTACCAGCGTGGAGACAGGCACTGCCTGGCGTTTCAGAGCCCCTCCAGCCTTGCCTCGGTCACCAATGCCCGTTGGCCGAGCGTGATGTGAGACTTCAGAGTTGCTTTGGTGGACATTTGTGTTCTCAGCGACTAGGAGCATCCTTCGTGGAGCTGAAAACCATCCTGCCCTTTGGCTGCTTGGCCCCTGCCGGGCAGCTTTTGGCCTTGTGTGTTTCGGTGAATTGCTGATGTACCTTGGGGAACAGAGCTTTGTCAGATAGCTGAGAGAAGTGGTTTTTTTTGCCCAGTAAGCCACTTCCCTTCTCATCCCATTGGTGTTCATTTTGTCTGTGTAAAAACCTTCATTTCGTGCAGTTGAAATGACCCATTTTACCTCCAGTAATTGCCAGTCAGTCCACAAGCTTTATTGAGCACCAGGAGCTGTGTGCAGTCCTGCGAACACAAGGACAGGTGAAAAGACAGTCCCCGTTCTCAAGGATCTCCTGGGATCGACTTATCCAAAGTGCTGTGGATTAATTTTGTTAGAACTTGTGCCTCATCTATTCTGAAGCATCAGGTTTTAGAATGGGGATGATAGTTCCGCGATTTGCATTTCTGAAGAAAGAGTGGACTTTGGGGACATTTGCTATTCATGGGATGCCAGGCCAGGAAGGGACTTTGGAGGTCATCTAGTCTGACTTGACAGATGGAGAAACTGAGGCCCAGAGAAGCTGAGGGACTTGCCCAGGGTCACACAGAAGTTAGGGGAGGGCTAGGCTCCCCCATCACTGCCCTTCTACTTTGGTGTTGGACCAGTACACAGGGCTTATGTTTCAGGGTCTTGAAATGCCAGAATTGTGCCAAACCCCAGCAATGAGAATTCCTTACCGAATGAGCGGTCATAATGACTAAGCACCCTGCATCTCAGGGAACATTAAAGTCCTTGGTTAGGAAAAGAGGCTAAATTAGATTGTAATAGTGTTTTATTTAGGTATCTTCTAACAAAATTACTTTTATGAAATGCTAATATGCCAGTTATGCTAAAATGCTAATTGTGAAGTTGGCTATTTAACCTTTTATCTTTTGAAATAAGAGTTATTTTTTTCCTTACTGTCTCTTGAATGGAATGGTCCATTCTTTTAGCTATTGTGTGTGTGTGTGTGTGTATGTATATGTATGTATATATGAATTGTTACTGGTGTACTAATTCAACTTTAAAAGTTTCATCAAAATGCAACATGCTTTAATTCCAAGATTTATGACTGTCTTGTTTTAAGTACATTTTACTTGCTTGGGACAGTTTAGAAAGTTTGGATCTTTTCCTGTGTCCTCAGGTGCAGTCAGCAGCCCTTGACGAGATGTTTCAGCAGACGGAGGATATTGTGTATCGGTATCACAAAGCAGCTCTTCTTTTGGAAGGCTTAACAAAAATCCTGCAGGACCCTGCAGACATTGAGAACGTACACAAATGTGAGTGTGCGTTTGGAGCTCGCAATCCTTCCTGTAAAAAGGACAGTGCTGATAAAATCCCCGTCCTCTCTGACCCCACCTCAGCAGAGTTTCTCCTTCACAACCATCTCACCCCTTTCATAGGTTATGTCTCTTCAGAGGACCAGCCTGATCCGTCCTGGTGAAAGTGCTGGAGGGGAGGGGGGAGTAGCATCCTGGTTAGAGCACGCGTGAGCGCTTTGCTTACAGCCACCTCAAGGCAGATTCGGTCAGTCAGCATTTATGAAGCACCTACTACATGCCAAGCACTGTGCTGAGTGCTGGGGATGTAAAAATAGGTGGAAGGTGGTACCTGCCCTCAGGGAGCTCACAGTCATCTTACAGGACTGGATGTGGGGCTGTGTGCTAAACAGAGCATTCTCAGCGACCCGAACAAACAGTCTAGGTTGGATGAGGCTTATCTCCGTTTTCTCAGGTTTGCCCGTTTGAGCAGGTTAGCAGTTACAAATTAAAGTCTTTGAGGTTCACAGAGTCTCCTACTTTGGCCTGTAAGATGAAAGGATTGGGAGGCATGGCCTGTCACAGCCCCTCCAGCTCTAACCTGGGTTTATCTGGACAGCTGTGAGTGGGGTCTGGGTCCCTGGAGACGGCAGTGCAGCGGTGGGTAGGGAATGATGGTCATTTTTAAAATTTCAGTTAGTTCCAACTATCCATGGTTTATAATGCCTGTCCTAAAGGGAATTTTCTGATTTTGCTTGCAGATAAATCTAGTATTGAAAGAAGGCTGTCTGCACTCTGCTATGGTGCAGTGACTGTCTATGAGCCATAGCCTCTCCCATGGACCGAGCAGCAGTGACATTAGGGAGGTGGGAGCTGAAGCCCCCCCCCCCCCCCCCCCCAGGAGGATTGGTGACTACCAAAGAGAATGCCATTGATGCAGAGAAGGACAGCGGCCCTGAACGACTAGGGATGACGTGCTGGGTGGAGAAGCTCTCCTTTCCTTTTGTGTCTTAGAAGCAGGAGTGAAACACTCTCCCTGGGTTTCAGTGTCAACGTGGTAAGTGCACCTTGGGCTGAATGATGGTTCAGTGCGGTTGTTCTGCCCCCGAGGATCTTGGGGAAGGGCGAACGCTCCCCCAGCCCCCGGCAGTGGGGGAGAAGCTGCTGCAGGTGGAGTCTCCTTCAAAGTTTGCCTCTCAGACTGCCAAGAAATGCCAGAGGCAAAAAGCAGGAACCTCTGGCCTGGATAGGGGCACGACTGACTCTTGGGGTGAGCTTGGCTCCTGCCGAGTGTGCCTCCAGAAAGGGGAAAACCCCCTTACAGGGATGACAAGTTGCCTCCGCTCCGTCCGGAGCCGGACTTGATCTGACGTGGCTACAGGCTTGATCTCTTCCCAACAGATTTCATGTTGCACTAATTTACTAAAGCAACTGTATTGGACTTTACAGAACTCTTAATTTAACACCAGATAAGGCACAATGGACTTACTCCAAAAAAGTTTCATTTTATTGTAAATAAACCCTTTGCGGAATTTCAAACGTAACTTCTAGGACAATTTTAAACAGACTGTACAAACTTATATTCGTGTGACCCTTTGCCTTTTTTTACCTATTTGTCTACAGCTGCCAATTTTTTCAGTAATGGAAATGTTTTAAGTTCCTACTTTGTTTTTACTTTTCCTATATAAGGCTTGGTTGCGGTTTTTTGTTGTGCATGCAGAATGTGCATTAATTAGCTCCTGTGATCTCAAAGGGTGTGTTAAAAGTGCTGTCTCCAGCTTCTTGGGCAGTATTAGAACCAGTGCTGGAAATTGAGAGGGGCTCTCCCAGAAGGTTGGGGCCCGCACCTAGGTTGGTCATCTAGATGTTTGTTAGTGATGTGGGCTTTCTACATCAAGTTTATGAAAAATCAGGTTTGTTTTTTTCTGAAGGAAGTGGGGGTGGGGACTCCCCCACCTGGGTGGGCGCTTTTCATTTCAAGCTCAATTCTTGCAGCTTACCAAATAGTAAGGCCTGGAGGGTTTAGGCAAGTTACCTGAAGACTCCTCTGGAAATGGTTCCAATATTGTATTTTATTTTGTTTTGGTTACTTTACTGCTTGAATACTTGAAAAAACCATTCTCCAGAACAAAATCATTTTAATCCTTTTAGATAACGTGGTCTGAACTCTTTGACAAAGTTGTACAGTAGCTCTGCATCGATAGCATTTTGGTGTACTGATGAAAACCATGAGTTTCTCTTTACTTTGACAAAGTAATGTAATTTTTACCTTATTTATCTGTATGAAATTCCAACAGTTAATTTGAACGTTTATTTATATAATGTTTGTATTTTTAGGTCTTTAATACAGTGTTTCTACCTCTCATTTGTAACAGCATGCATTCTTCTGGAAACTAGGGAATAACTCACTGAACTGTTGTGTGAGAGCCTTTTTATTATCGCCTGTATAAATGTATATTAAGGTAAAATAAAACTGACAGCGGTTTCTAGGTGCAGTTTGGTCTCTTCCAAAACTTTGATTCCTGACAGGCAGGCAGCTACTTTTTATCTTGGATAATAGTGTATGTGTATATGTAATGTTATGTGTATCTGTTTATCTTTAAGGTTTGCAAAACACTTTACATATGTTTACCGCCCTGTGAGGTAGGTACTGTTATCCCTGTTTTGACAGATGAGGAAACTGAGGCAGAGGTTGTCACACTGCTAGTAATTGAGCCTAGATGTGAACTCAAGTCTTCCGACCACAAGTCCAGTGAGCTGTCCACTGCCTCACCTCACTGCCCGTCCAGACACCCCACACTTTTCTGTTACAGATATTAGGATAATAGAAGGGAAAATCATTGATGTGGCAGACGCTTGTCTCTGTCCTTGTAGATGAGTGATTGGTCTTGCAGCGTCCTGTAATATCCCTGACTGGGGAAGGTCGGAGCCCGTCCATACCTGTGACTAGGGCCTGGTGGTTATAGACACCCTTACTCTCTCTTCCATTTGTATCAAGCTCTGCAGTTTCTAGGATCTTTGCCTCCATCATCTCTTTCTCCCAGTCATCCCAATGAGAGATGCAGGCACTATCCCTGCGTCTTGTTTGACAGTTGAGAATTGCTGAGGTTCAGAGAAGTTCTTGGTCATTTGCGCAAAGGCCAGTGTGACTCCTGGGGGTCCTTCCCGATCCTTGAGTTAGGGGTGAGTGGGGGGAGGCTTCCCTCAACCCCTGTATGGGTCGGTCAGGCTCATCCTTTCCCAGGTCCCCGTTACTCCCTTTCTGGGCACATGCTATGAACATAGTAGATATGGCTCTGCATCGTGGACATCTGGAGCTGATCGACAACCCAAATTGTCCCCATCTGGCACCCCTTTGGCTAGCAGATTGGATATCGTCATCCACTCCTAACATCGTCTAACATCACTTGTGTGGGGATTCTCACGTTTGCTCTGTCAGCCCTAATGGCTCCTCAGAGGCCCATATTTCCAATTGCTTAGTGGCCATGCCTCCTGAGATCTCCCATCATCACCCCCTAAAACTCAGCAGATTTAGACCAGACTTCTTCCTTACTGTGTCCTCTTCACCCATCCCATTCTTCCTTTCCTAATTTTCTTATAATATAACCTTCCTCCCCAGTGTCTTGGTCTGAACCTGGCATCTTTAGGTGGGGAAAAAAGAAGTTGATTAGTTGACAGATTCTGCTTGTTCTACTTTGACTCTTTCCCTCTTTATCCTACTTAGTCCTTCCTTATCTCTGCCTTGGATTATTGCTCCTAGCATCCTTTGATGTCTCATCCATCCTTATGGAGAGGAGGTGGGTCTTAGGGTTTGTTAAGTTGTTTTTAAGAATACTTTGGCAACAGTATTTCAATATATTTTGTTTCCTTTGCCATCCTATTTTATGCATTTAAAAAATTTTTGAGAAGGGCGTCCAGAGGCTTCACAAGGCTGCCAAAGGGGTCTAGGATATAAAAGAGTTAAGAATTCCTCCACTAGCTTCCACTGATGCTTAGATTAATCTCCCTGAATGGAATGTGAACTCCTTGGTAGTGGGGACTTTGGTTTTTGTCTTTTTATAAGCTTGGCGACCCGATTGTTGACGTGAAAAATAGTAAGAAGACCAGTTTGTGCGGACTGAGTGTGTGAAGGGGAGAGTCGTGTGAAATGAGGCTGGAATGATGGAGAAGGCCAGGTTGTGACAGGCTCAAATGCCCAGTGGGGTTTTATATTTGCTTCTAGAGGTAAGAGCAGCGTACAGAGTTTGAGTAGTGGGATGGCATGGTTACTTAGCCCAGTGTAGGGCATGTAGAAGATGCTTAATATTTGTTCATTCATTCAAGTTTACATCTGTGCTTGGACCAGCTGTGTGGAATCTGGGTCAGAATGGGCAAGAGATTTGGGGCAGAGATCCTCTTTGGAGGTAGAAGCCCTTATTTTGTGGTGGATTCCCTCATTCAGAAAATGGAAATTGATGGGCCCTTGACCCATTTTCCACTTAAAATAGACTCTCTTGATCTTAAGTAGAGGTTCCCAAACTTATTTGTCCTGCCACCCCTTTTTAAGAAAAAAAAATTACTTAGCACCCCTCTGGAAATATACTTTCTTTAACCCTTTTACAGTTTTTTTTTAAAATTTGCATCACTTTTAAAAAATAGAAAATATTTTTTTTAAATGATGTTAAATTTAATAATTTATTGTAAATTTGTAGTTTTTTATGCATTAAAATTTTGATGATGCAACATTGTATCATGTAACTATAGTATTGTAAACAATCATACATACACATATTCCTGCTGATACATGCTGGACTTCCCGATGGGCTTGCCCACCGACACTTGCTTGTTAAGACCTGTTGGTGGACTTGACCACTGCTTGGTTATAACTTGCATTTTGTGTGTTTATTTGGAAAATAATGTAATCACTACCGTTTTAACTTTGTTGCACAACAGATGAAACCTGTAGGAACAGCTTTTCAAAATGTTGTTATCTTCTCTTCCTTATGCTTTCAACGCCTTCCAACTGTACCTGAGGCTACTACCTGCCACCCTCAGTCCAGCCCCCACTTTGGGAGCCTTTGATCTTAAGAGAGGATCAGTTATTGCTGCAGCTTGAGATCAGAAGTGCCTGAAGTGCCAACGTCTTCAGCTCGTTTCTAGGGCAGAGGAGTGGGACTTTGCTAGAGGGGCAGGTCTAGGAGCACTGTAGCCACCTGGGTCAGAGTGAATGAGTATCCCAGGGAGACGAAGAAGTGTCTCCTGATTCCTCTGGCCCAGGATGATGGATTCTCTTCCTCTCTTACCTGGAGGAGGCTTCCTATAGCCACCTTTTAGGACTAAGCACAACCCAACCTGTTCTCCTTAAAGGTTGGAGAGACCCAGGGAAGCCAAAAGCTCTAGATAAAATCGGATGAAGAAAATGGCCCCCATTTTATCAGCAAGAAGGGAGAACTCATTTTTCTTCGTTCCAGACAAACTGGCCTATGAGTTGCCAGCACAAGTCATTCTCTCCTGCCTTCATGCCTTTGCACGGGTAGTCTAGAATGCAATCCCCCTTGGATCTGTACCTTTGTTCAAGGGTCAGCTTATGAGCAACGTCCTGGAGGAAGCCTTTCCTCTTCCCCGGGCCATTAATGCCTTCTTGTTTGTGTCCGTGTTATCTTGTCCTCAGTAAAATACAAGATCTTTGAGGATTACAAACTGTCAATACCCCCAGTACCTAGCACAGTGCCGTGGGGATTTTGGTTTGTTTTTATTTTTTAAAAACTAAAAATCTCTTATTTCCTTTCTCTCCCTCTACTAGAGTGGGGAGGGAACCTATCTAGAACAACGCCTTGTATGTAAAGGTACTAAAACAAATTTGTTGAAATTAGCGGGGAAATAACTGACCAGCACAGCATCAGGACCCCATATTCTGCACTCTTCTACTTGGAAGAGAGGAATATGTTTTCATCATTGCTTCCTGGAATTGACACTGGTCCTTCCATTCAGTAGGAACTCTGATGTCTTAGGCGGCTAGGTGACACAGTGGATAGAGCGCCTGGCCTGAAGTCAGGAAGATTGAAGTTCAGAGTGGACCTCAGACTCACTAGCTGCGTGACCTTGGACAAGTCACTTCACCTCTGTTTGCCTCAGTTTCCTCATTTGTAGAATGGGGATAATAATAGCACCTACCCACCAGGGTCATTGTGAGGATCAAAGGAGATAATTGTAAAGTGCTTAGCACACTGCCTGGCACATAGTGTGTAAATGGCAGCTATTACTGTTAGAAGAATTCTGATGTGTTTTAGTGATGTTTTCATTAATATTACACTTATCGTGTCCAGTTTTCTGACTCGGTTGTTTCCTTCTACATCAGTTCTTACAAGTCTTATTCATGTTTCTCTGAATTCCTCATATTTGTAGTTGTTAGAATATAATAATATCCAGTTACACTTGTAGTCTCTTCAGATGTAGCTTTTTACTTCATGGTATCTGCCTATCTTTCTCTCCTTTTCCAGATCTCTAAGCACCAAAGAGAAAAACAAATATAAGGCAGGAGTGGAGGCAACCTCCAAGCTTTACCATGAAGGACAGTCACCAGGGGTTGGTGCTGGTGGGATGTGATAAAAGGCCAGGCAGCCTCTCTCTCTGGCTGGTGGGGTCTGATTTCAGATAGAAGGGTAGCAGGGACCTGGTGTGTGTAGATGAGTTCTCCAGGACCAGCCTGCTGAAATACTCAACATCTGGTGGAAACCCCCTGGTCAGGGATTTGGTCTGCAGCCTCTACAGGAGTAGCAAGAGAATACAAGTGTATTGTACTGAGCAGGTTCCTGCCCTTTTTAACTGGCTACATAAAAGAATACTTGGGCATACCCATCTATCAGGAAAAAAAAGGAAAGAAAAAGGCTTTCGGGTGTTCCTGGTTCCACATTGTGAGAAGGGGACAGAATAGAAGAGAGAAAGATGAGGGGATTAGATTCAGTCTTATCACAGCTCCTGTGAATTACAGAAGTGACTTGGATTTAATGCTAGTACTTTGAGTTCACTTTTAGCCAATTCCATTTAGTCTAAGTGCTGAGTGAATTCTTTGAGCCTTTACTAAGAAGGAAAATAAGATTGGGGATCTCAAGTGGATGGGGGTAATATGAGCTAAAAAGAGTTATGATGTGGGGGGGATGGAATTAATCTATACTTCTGTATCTGAAGACTGAAGGCTGTGCTCCAGGGAAAGGCCCAGGTGTTTCCAGTATACATAGTTGAAATGAGCTGGCAGAGCTCCAACCTCAAGCACCACCTAGTGGTTAACTATGACATAGCACCCTGTGGCATCTGTTCCAGGCCATGTTCCTAATGGAGAAAGAAGTACCACCCGCACTGGCACAGTGTTGCCCATGTTCCTAGTCTATACGCCCCCATTTGTTTGGTCATTTGCTAGTTAGAGGGCACCCCTTCTGTTTTCCTTGATTTGAGCCCTCTCCCAGAAGACCTGTACCTGGTAAAAGTTTCTTTGACCCTCGCTAGATGGCGCAATGGA